GTCCCGGATTTAAGAGCTATGTCCCGGTCCCGGTACAATACCTGCCGGGACGCAAAATGTCCCGGTTTTTGGCAAGAAAAAAATTTAGACATCTCGTTGTTAAAAATTTAGAACTCTTCAATTTTAGTCCGATTTCAATAATTTTCAACGTTTTGCTTTTATGTGGCAAGCACAATAAAAATACCGAGTTTGGTATAAATTGGTAGAACGGTTACCGAGATACATATATGTGATCATAAGTGGGCGGTGCCACGCCCATTTTCCAAAATTTTATCACAAACGTATTTCTTGGTTAAGAGTTGTTGCAAGCATCAATTTTGAATAAATTAGCTGTAATATTTACTGATTTATCGAAGATTTTGTATTTCTCCAAATTACCGTTATATGGGATGTGGGCGTGGTTATTGTCCGATTTTAAAAATTTTCGGAAATTTGGTATGTTGTGCGAAGGCCAACAACTGTGCCAAGGTTGGAAGAAATTAGTGCAGCGGTTACCAAGTTATACACATGTAGCCATAACTGGGTGTGGCTACGCCCATTTTCCGAAAATTTATAATATTCTTATTTTTCGTCTAAAACATATTGTAAATATCAATTTTGAGTGAATAATCTCCAGTAGTTACTAAAATATCGCAGTTTTCTTATATCTGAAAATTACCGTTATATGTGAAGTGGGCGTGGTTATTGTCCGATTTTAAAAATTTTCGGCCGTTTGCTATATTGTGCGAAGGCCAACAACTGTGCCAAGTGTGGAAGAAATTGGTGCAGCGGTTACCAAGATATATACATGTAACCATAAGTTTTCCAAAAATGTATAATATTCTTATTTCTCGTCTTAAACTTATTGTAAATATCAATTTTGAGTGAATAATCTCCAGTAGTTACTAAAATATCGCAGTTTTCGTATTTCTGACAATTACCGTTATATGGGAAGTGGGCGTGGTTACAGTCCGATTTCGCCCATTTTCAATACCAACCTACCTATAAATGGAAACCTACATACAAAATTTCGTTGAGATATCTCAATTTTAGCTCGAGTTATCGTGTACACGGACGGACGGACAGACGGACAGACAGACATGGCTTAATCGATTTCTCTTTTCATTCTGATCATTTATGTATACATTTGTCAATATCTATCTCGATTCGTTTTGGCTGTTAAAAACAACCGTTATGTGAACAAAATTAATATACCCTTGTGCACAAGTGCGCTCGGGTATAGAAAATTCCCAAAGGTCAATACGATTTTTTACTAACTTCAAACTGGCGCATTGTTATAGTAAAATGCCAACGCGTAGGCAAATTCATGGAATTTTACGCACGAAGTTAAGAGATTTTTTTATGTTTTTTGTTGTAGTATAAGCAATATTTTTATAAAAAATTCGCCGAAAATTTTAAGTAAAAAATGTTGCATAAATTGTGATAAATTCCTGGTGACAATAATTTAGTGCGACACTATACATACATACATACATTTTTAGTTAACTTTTATTAAAGTTTTTAAGTAATTTAGAAATATTATCATTGAAGCTTCGTTTTATGAAATTTTTTATATGTACATATATGAAATTTTACTTTCTTTTTGTTATTTATGGCCTCATACCAATTATATTCAACTATTTGATTGAGCTTGAGGCCATTATTATTAATGAAATTTGTTGTGAAAAAACAACAGTAATTTACATTTTGATAGAAGTTATAGCTGCTATTTCGGGCAGCTATTCTGCTGCTGTTTAGACTTGACCATGATGTTGTTGGTGATTTTTTGTTAATAACTATTCTATATTTAGGGCTAGGTTTCGGCAAATGAGCGTAAGTGAGAAATTTATGGCCAAGAGAGGGCCACATTTCGATGGTCCTCTGCAATAACTTCTGGTTTTCACAAACTCGTCCAGAAAAATAGTGAGGCCGAATTCGGGCTAGCGAGAAGCAAATATCACTAGGTCAAAATGGCTTTCAACAGCCCGAGAATCAACCAAAGAGACAAAAATTTACCACTTTCGGGCACCTGCGGGCGAGCAAAAGAAAAGACTTGTTGTGCGTCCCGGTTTCAAGAATCCAAAAGTTGGCAACCGTGGCTTTAAGCGTTCTCCATCTCATCAATGGTTGGTATAACGTCATAGCGCTTTGGTGTTGCTCAAAGTTCGCCGTGCAATGTCAGTGGCGCAATGCAAAATTAAGTGTACCTTTCGACATTGTAGGCAGGCTGCCCACAGAACGATGCACAATTTTTAAAAGCGCTGTTGTAATTACTTGTTTGTATTAATTCGGTAATGTCTAATGTGGACGGGCCCTATTAAAGGCTGAGGCCCTTACTATGAGTTGCATTCGATTTTCGACTTCACTGGTTATCGAAGATCGAATGTGAAATTCGTATTATGAGCTATGCAAACGTGCGATTTCGTATATTTGATAAAAAAAAAAAGATGGCACCTGCCCCAAGATGGGCCTGACAAACTTAAATTTAGAGGTTGCTACCGGTGTTTGAAATTTTCATTTTTCACCAATTTAGAAATTCCGTGTCGAATGGATTTTTCTATAATTAAGGTCACATTTTTGCAGAAAAACAGTGTGGCTGCTATACCACAATTTTTCCGCTGGAAACGATGGAATAAGTGGTTTTTCTTAAAAAATACTTACTCCCCGCAATACCGCATTTTTGAGATGGAAAATTAAATAAAAAATCAAATTGAAATATGTAAAATGAAACAAGATAAGTTTTTCGGAGCCGGTATATATGCTTTCCGAACATTTATACGCCCTAAAAATAATGGCGAAAGGCTCATATCAAAATCATTATTTTGATCATTTTCGCAAAATATTTTCATTTTGAGTTCGAGAACGAAAAAATGCAAACTTTAACAAGGAAATATTTATAGATAAAAGATTTTTTGTAAATTTCCTTAAAGCCTGTTCTTTTATAAAAATATCAAGCTATCGACGAAGAAAATTTATTGATAAATAAAGTTGTAAATGGTCAAATGTAAATGCGTAACAATTTCTTTTTTATGAAATATGGCTACAAAAGAATGTTATAGCATAATACTTTTTTTTTGGATTCCAAAAAGGGATACCGCGGTTTTTTTTTCAAAATACTGCATTTATACTTAGTTTGCTGCCAAAATTTTTTAATACACAGGGTGCGTGGAAACAAGCTATAAAAAATCATATACGTGTATACTGTTGTGTAAAAAATAAGGACAAGTGTTTATCAATTTTTTATTAAAGTCTTGTTAGTTATATAACACTTAACACGATATAAATTCACTTTTAAAACTTTGTAGAGAAATTAAAATAAAAATTCGCAACAATAAACTTTGCATTCTTAATTTTTCAAAAATTCCAAGTATGCAGTTTTGTTGCTTATTAATAATAAGAGCAAGTTTCAATGGGTTAAGAATTCGCGTTGAATTTGGTTATTTTTTTGCCGATGGTGTTATTATTTTTTTCCAGACTTTGTAACTTTGTATGGAAGAAAATGCCTGGTACTGCAAAAAAATAATAAAAAATCACTTCTAACTAGAGTGTTGTTGTTGTGCAACTTGTTTGATTTGTCTAATTTTTGTACCAAGTGAGAAATTTGGATTTGGATTGGAGGGGCGTACAACGGTACCTATAATCAGGGTGGGCAAAAACTCGGAGTTCGAGCGAGCGAGTGAGCAAACTCCTACTCAATGCCTCGCAGACCACGAGGCGCTCGCAGCTCGTACTCGTAGCAGCAATGAGGCGAGGCACGAGAAGTTTGGCTCGCTCGCCAAACGAGCGAGCGCTGCTTGTTTGCTCGCGCTCCTATTAAATGAGCGAGGCTGTTGGGTGTTGCCTCGCTCGCAGTGCGAGGCGAGTAGCTGTCTGCATACTCACTCTGCTAGGAAAGACGAGTGAGCGACGAGCGAGCGCCCCGAGTGTACTATACAACACATGCATTTTTGTGCATAAAAATGTGGGAATGTATGTCAATAGATTATGTACGAAAGTGTGTTAATAATTGTATGTACATATGCATATATATATGTGAAGTATTATATTAGGGCAGCATTTAAAACTACAAATAAAATTGATTACATACATAAGCATAGATTATGGAATGAATTATTTTTTAGAGTTATATTCATACATGTGTACACACATAACATGCATATTTATATATGTTTGTATGTACGTATTTATGTATATATGCATTTATATATGGATGTACATATGCATGTATTTTGTCTTTACAGAGAAAAGTAAGTAACGAAGATATTATAATCGTTTGTGCCGCAGAAACAAAAAACAAGTAAGCACTTGCTAACACCCCCAAATTAGTTTTCTACTTGTAGCAGTTATGCTGTATACCTGAATGACATATAGTCCTTGGTGAAAAAATTTATTTGTGGCCTGTTGTTCAAGGACATGTGTACATATGTATGCATGTACATATATATGGATATGTAGACATGGGAAAATTTGCGTAAACAAAGAATAGAGACCGGTTCGCATACATCTTTGGCGTTGCGTTGGCGTCGAATTTCAAAGCAGCCGTCCACATATCCAAAATTTGGCAACGCTAAGGCCAACACAAAGCAGAAAGATCGCTGCGTCGGTCGCCAGCTGTTGCAAATAAAAAAAATTAAATGAAATGTTTTTTCCTTTTAATCAAATGAAGGCAAGAAATATATTTTTCATGCTATTATTGATATGAAATATTTAGGGAGTTCACAAGTCGTGCTATTTGTCATATTTGCTCTTTCATACTATTTTTTTAGAACAGTTTTAAAAGTGTTGTTTTTGCTTTACAAGTAAAATTGTTGTATTACAATACAACTTTGAAAAATATGTTTACTTTGCTATTTGTGAGTGCTATTGGATCAGACATTTCTATTTATTTACATTTTTCCTTGTCTGAGTACAATAAAATATTCAAATTTTAAATAAAAAGATGGAGTCATCTCATGGCAATGGAGTAAGTTATCTTTAATTTATAACATATTTAACTTATTAAAGATCTTTTTTTAATTCAGTGCAAAACTAAGCGTGTCCGGGGAAAACCAAACCATATGTGGACAGTGTCGGAAGAGAAGTCCCTAATTGATTTTCTTTTAGAAAACCGCCTATTTGAGGTTTTTTCCTTAAACACATATGTATAAATATAATTTGGAAATATAAGTACATATTTGCAGAAGCCGTCCGCCCAGGATTTTTATACGCGTTTCTGTGTAGAAAAAAAACTAGAAATTCATTGGAAGCTGGTGCGTTCTAAAGTGCGTAATATGAAAACGAATTACAAGAAAGCGAAGGATTGGGAATTTTCGACAGGGGCAGGTAGCATGGATGGATGATTTGCCAACAACACAAGCATATTCAACCTAAAAGTTTCATCGATCTCTTCCTCCTCATCTTCATCGCCTAACAAAAATGCACCAAATAAATTTAAAAAACTCATAAATGACTTATTTGACGACTCACTTCCTTCCATCATTGCGTCCTGCGCGTACTTCTCGCAAATCGCAGCCATTAATTTGCTTTTCTCGCTTCTTCTGGGCATTATAAACTTTCTAAAGCTGTTTTAATAATTTTGATTTTGTCAAATATAATTGTTAAAATATTGTACAATAGCACACGAAAAAGTATGGGATGCTCACAAGTTTCATTTTACAACTGTTCTAAAAAAATAGTACAAAAGAGCAAATATGACAAATAGCACGACTTGTGAACTCCCTAATTAATTTATTTCTCGTTAATATGTTAATTTAGTGGCCAAAGTAGTCTCTGCCAAGCTTCATTGTAGAACGCATACTTTTAACGTGCGTTCTGTCAAACCAACACCAACTACAAAGTCAACGCGAAAGTTCTATGTGGACCAGCCTTAATTATCAAATAGTAGTTTGTATTATCCTACATACATATACATATACAGTGTGTCCCAGAAGTAACGTGCCAAACTTTAGGGTAAGGTAGGTGGGTGGGTGAGCTCCTTGATAAATAAAAAATTGTCAGGTAAAAGTGTCACCGTTTTTGAAATATTTACATTTTTTCGAATTTAAAAAAAATCGTGCCTTTTCATGTGTTTTCTTTAACTGCAACTACAAACCGGGCAATACTTAGTAAATTTTTTATGTAAAATACTTCCAGATAGTTGCCTCTCCATACTCAAATGCAATGTGGTTAAAATAAATTAAGGAACCATCATAAAATTAGGACTATTTCTGGATTTTTTTAACTTTTTGATATTTTCTTCCCCAACTTTGACTATCTCGGGTGAAAAAAAAATGTACTGAGCTATAACTTTACATTACATAAAAAAATTGCTCATTTAATAAAGATTTCAGAAAGGTGCCACACTTACTGTTTTGACTAGAAAAAAAAAGTTATAGCCGCTTTTGTGGGTAAAGGACTGAGACACGCTA